CTTTTACGTGATAGAACACCGCATGAATTTTAGGTGTTACCGAAACTTCCAAATCCAAATAACTTTCTTTAAAATTAGCGATGTACTCTTTAAAGCATGGATCAAGAATTGAACCGAAACAGGCTTTTACAATTAATCGAAAGTCGTCAAGTACTTTGACAAATTTCAAACAACTGAGAGGACATGTTGCTCGTAAAAGATCAAGTTTTTCCAATAATGTTTTGCAAGCATTTCCATTAAATCCCGAGCCACCGTTAGTTATCTGGCGTTCAACATTGCAGGATTTTGCCCATGCCTAAGTTTCTGTCTTAAATTCAACAAGCATGTGGTTAAATATTGTTTTTACCACTCCAAGCATCAAATGAAGTTCAGGCGGTGAAATTATATCCAGAATACGCTTTTTTGAGCCGCCTGTAAAAATTGGCATATTTACGCAATTAAAATACTCCTTTTCAGATTTTGTTATTCCTCCTGCATCGCGCCAATTAGAGTAATTCTCTATTATGTTGCCAATCGTTCTAAATTCAGCACGTTCGCTGAGTTTATTTTTTTCCGCTATACACCAAGTACAGGGAAACAGGCTACTATGACTCATAATGCCAGCCAAAACATAGAAGAATAAAAAGCCTCTTTACCCCAGGAACTTGAAATTTTTTTAAGGCGACCCCTTCTTTATATTTTTGACGAGTACAGTTTATTTTAAAGTTATCTTTAATTGATTGGATTGACAAGCAAAGTTTTAGGAAATTCCCTCCACCATCGATGCCAAACTTTAGGTGCACTTCAGATATTTGACGCTGTTTTTTTACGTACTCAATTAAACCGTCCAAATTTTTGCAATAAACAACATATTGTTTAACATTTGAGGCGTTTTTAGCTTTCATATTTATAAAATCAAACGATTTTACCTCAAAAAATTCGTCCAAGCTGTGAATAGCGGATGAAAGTGCCTTCTTTAAATTAGGCTCAATTACTTTTCGGTTACAACTAGCCACACGAATCATTGATGCTATTCCGAGCGTTGTATTTTGAGTAAGGTTAAAGCTTGTTTGAATTTTCTGAATATCAATTACAGAAATCTTGGTGGTTTTAATACAGTTTTCTTTGTTGGGTGGATTAACAGATATTCTCAATGGTTTACCACCAGCATACTGAGAGAGAGCCACTGTGTATTTTTGTTCAGGTTTTTTGATTTCCTTGATTTTTTCTTTTAATACAGTTGCAATAATTTGATCTCTGCTTTTTGGAATTGTTTGTAGATTAACAAACTGCCTGGAACTGTTGCACTTATGGCTTTGCCCTTTTGCGATCAAAGTAAAGCAGGTTTTACACAATTTTTGATTCTTTGATTTCTTAAAACTGCCTTTGCAACGTCTATTCGCCACGCGGTTATTGCCTGGAAAGTAAAATTTAATTGAATTATTTAGACCTCATCCTTTATATGTTAAATAAGATGTGGTTTAAAATTATACCTCTTATTGGCTTCAAAATATTTGCTTTAGTATCATTCTTGAACAAAGGCTCCCTTGCAATATAACAAATTTTGCACATACAAGGTAACAGACTAGTAGATCTTGTTGTTTTTGCATAAAACTGTGATAAATTTGACAGATCTATGGTTTCTTGGCTTCCATCCTTTATCCGATATAACTTTCGTAAACATCCACTACAAATAGCATTTGGCAATCGTTCGTCAGTAACAGAATATTCAAAGAGAGTTTTTATCATAACTTCAACTTTTCCTTTTGAAAATATCTTCACAAACTTGGTTTTGCTGCAACGACTCTCCTTTTTTAAACACAATAAGCAAACTTTTGCACGGTTTTGATCGTGCGTTCCTTTCTTCTTTAGTATATTTTTCTCCATTTCAAAACAAGTTTTAATGAAACCGAAACAGTTTAGATGTGTAAAAGTCACATTAATTAACAGTCGCCTTCTTTATTAAATATTAGGAAATCAAAATACTGGTTTTTATTTATATTAAACTTAAGAAGCTCAATAATTTAATTATCTTCAATTTATTTTATTAAAACTAACTTTTTTTAAGAAGCGCCCCATAGATTATTTTGTTTTTGGTTTTAAAGCGTTATTAAGATGCCAGACAATTAAAATTAACTTACAAATCACATATGCAAAAACATGTCAATAAAATTTATTTTAGCCGCACAGTGACCTATTATAAAACCGTGGTTTATAAATAAATAGGTTATGTTCAATATTATTTAAAGTATTTAAATTGTTTGAAAATCTTTATACTAAAATACGCTGTTAATGTTTAAAAAGAAGTAAAATGATTATATGTTTCAAAGAATTTGGTTATGTTGGAAGTTTTATTTTTGCCAATATACCATTTATATTATAACATCGTGACGTCACGCCACAGAGAGAATTTATTGTCATTTTTGGGGAAAAATTAATAACAAAAATCTTTTTTTAACGGTAGGGTTGTTTTAAGTGACTAGCCTCTAATATAATAGAAGTAACTTCAAACTGATTTTTGATATGTCCCAATCCCATTTTGTAATGAATATATACAGGGTGCGTTTTAAGTTGACGCGTTCCTTTTAACAGCCTGTAGAAATCAGATAGACAAATAAATATTTTAAGTAACTTTTTTATCAAAACTCAAAAATAAGTCATAGCCCTTCAAAGTATAATTAAATTTTGAGCCGGTCCTGGCTATTTTTAACAAAAAACATAACCATAAAAATTAAAATAACAAAATAAACAATAAAAAATGTCATCTACCACAACAAACATAACCATTTAAATCAAAATGACATTTAGCAATGACAAGGTCATCGTGAAGGACACGTAGCTTTTAAAGCAAAATAGAAACAATAACAACTTTTTAAGATGGATTTTGGTGACGGATGAAGCCATGTTTACCCGGAATGGAATAAATAATTTTCGCAATACACATGTTTGGGCTGTAGACAATCCTAAAGCTGTACGAAGATCGTTTTTTCGTTAATGTGTGGGCAGGCATCATAAATGGCATGTTAATTGGACCATTTATTTTACCAAATCGTTTAAACGGCAATGATAACCTTCATTTTTTGCAAAATATTCTTCCTGTTTTGCTGGAAGATGTACCTGAAAATGTAATACGCATCCTGTGGCTATTGCACGATCGGGCGCCTCCTTGTTAGAGATTTTTTGAATGAACAATTTCCTAATCTGTGGATCGGTCGTGGAGGACCTATCGCGTAGCGGCAAGATCGCCGGATCTAAACACTTTGGATTTTTTCTTGTGGGGGTGGTTGAAAAGCTTAGTGTTCAAAAACCCAGTAAATACTCTCGAAGAATTGATAGCACGAATCGAAGATGCATCTCAAATAATTCGCGGAAAGCCCCTTTCTATACTACTAGCATGTACAAAAGCATGGCTACAACGCACGCAACTTTGTATCGACCACAACGTGGACAATTTCGAACAATTTCTGTAGACATTGCAACAAAATTACCATTTAAACCAAAATGACACATTTAGCAATGCATTGCTAAATGTGTCATTTTGGTTTAAATGGTAATTTTGTTGTCATAGATGACATTTTGCATTGTTTATTTTGTTATTTGTATGGTTATGTTTTTTGTTAACAATAGCCAGGACCGGCTTAAAATTTAATTAAACTTTGAAGGGCTATAACTCTTATTTTTGAGTTTTGATAAAAAAGTTACTTAAAATATTTATTTGTCTATCTGATTTCTATACGCTGTTAAAAGGAACGCGTCAACTTTAAACTCAACTCGTTAATTGTTGTGAATTAACCTGGCTTGATGAACCATAAATGATGTTGTAAAATGAATCCTCGACGGATCACAAATTATTGATGATTCTGCAATTTGATTGAAACACTCACTTACTTAAAATAGCCCAACTTTATTAACTATGTACGTTACAAAATGTTGCCCAAAGATCTGCTGATCCTGAAGCAAACATGTTAATCTTACGACTGCTTAATATTGACTCTTAAAATATGTAAAAGAAGTGAAAGTTATACTACCTTAAATATATAAATCAAGTGGCTGTTGCACCATAGGCAAACAGTTATACTCGCCCTTAGGGTTGACAGCCAATCAAGGATGGACATTATTTGTAACATTATAATGTCATCCTAGGACTATAAAATGAATAGGTATACAATTGATCACAAAAATAATACTACTTAACTATAATATTAACAGGTATAAAATTGACCACCCCTGTATATGCATTAGGGTGCTTCAAAAAAAAAATAATTTTTTTTTCGCTCCTACCCTCTCAAATGTTTCTATTTAATATAAAAAAATCCTCACCAAATATGGGCGTCTCAGCTCAACTCTAAGAGGTCGCTGTTTTTATTTTAGTTTCCCATTTAATTAACATGGGAAAAAATAAATAATTTTATGTTTGGAATTTTATACCTCTGTATCAAAGTAACTTATGGCAATGATCATTTGCGGTTTCTTATATAAAATGTAACGCTCTACAAAAAAGCTCTCTTATTATTTTTCGATAAATTGATTTCTTCTAGAGTTATTCGAGGTCAAAGTTTGATAACATTTTCTGTTTTTTTTTTAATTTTATGGTAGCAGACAGGAGGTGAAAGGGGGCAAAACAAGGCAGCGGGGGGGGCAAAATGGGGTGCCCAAAAAATGAGAGGATAAGAGCGAAAAAAAAATTAAATTTTATTTTTTGAAGCACCCTATATGCATAGTAAATTGAAAAATTTTAGCGCAAATACTTATCAAGATATGTATATATATATATATATATATATTTATTACAAAATGGGGTTGGGACATGTCAAAAATCAGTGTGAAGCTACTTATATTATATTAGAGGCTAGTCACTTAAAACAACCTTATATGGTCATTGCTAAGATAATAGAATCGGAATTATCGGATTATAAAATTGGCCCATTTTAACGATATAGTCATGAAAATGGAAACATTTGCACTTATATAGGTACATTTACATACACACAAACATTTTCTAACTTCTTTTACCATTTCAGAAACTGAAGGAAGAAAAAAAAAAGAAAGCAAAAGAAGAAGCAGATATGCTAGAAAGAGCCAAAAAAGCTGATAAACTTGCATTAGAAAAACAGAAGCTCCTGCAAACTTACAAAGTACTTCAAGAGTTAGACAAGAAAGATCCTTCAAGATACAAGAGGGTTTCAAGATCGCGCAGCAGGTCAAAGACGAAAAAATCCAAAAGAAAACCGTCAAGCAGTACTTCAAGCAGTAGCAGCGATAGTTCACGTAGCAGGACACCTGTTAAAAAACATAGGAAATAAAAATAATTCATTATGCATCTTAGGGTATTAATTTAAAGTAAGAAATACCTAATGTTTTCTTCTATATCATATGGCATACAAATACGTATTTTTTCCAATTTTATTTTTTATGTAATTCTTAGGTTGCAGTTTTTAGTCTTCGTTTATAGAATAATTCAATAATAGAATAAAAAATAAATATTGAAATTGATCTTTATTTTATTTTCCTGTCCAATAGAAAATATGGTGTAAACATGACAAAATTTGGTTTACTTTAGATAAGAGATTTTTCCAGACTTGAACGAGCAAATATAAATTGTGGGTATACCATGGTATTCATGGTTAACCATGGTATAAGTGAAAAAGCAGTCACTAATAACTGAGGTAATTAGTCATTTTTGACTAATTCATTTTTAGAGAGTACATTTCCAAAAAATACCATAGAAAAATAGTTTAATTGGGAGAAAGTGAGGTTGGATTGGTCTAAAAGTTGTTAGATAATAAACAGATGAGGCCACCAGTGTAGTTATTTCGTCATCCGGTGATAGAATGAATTCATTCAGTAACACTTTAAGGAATATATGTAATTCCACATTAAAAAGCGATATTAGAACGGTAATTTTCCGTAATAGGAGTAGAAAGAGTCTTAAAGCACCTGAAAGTTATACAATATCATAACTATTTTAATATTGAACTAGGTTGTAATGATATTGATACTGCTGATATTGGCTATAGTTTAAACTTTGGGGTTTCCTGTATACAGGAAACCCCAAAGTTTAAACTTTGCACCATGTCTTTCCTAACAATGTTACATTGTCAAAGTATGTTGTTTGGTATCAAGGAAATAAATTACATTACAGTCATAACTGTACATGTATATTTGCTTAGCACAGATAATAGACTTGACCTTTCCCATATTCATTTAATTCTAATTACCCACTTTAGATAAGAAATGCTACATAAATGTCTATAGTAAAAGCCACAGAACAAGCCTTGGCTTCTGTTTATCTTTGCGAGAGGGAATGAATCATACTATCATAGATAACATACTATCATAGGCATTAGGTCCATGGATCAGAGATAAAGAAGGATGGATTGAATGAATTGCGCATTTGTTTACTATTTGAGGGGTACAAGTGCCGCACTTGAAGTGCGCACCCAAAGTGCGTACCTAGGTATTTTTTTGTAAAGCCACCACCTCAATGTAATATAATATAATATACCTATAATAATATAATATATACCTGCTGCTACCTTTAATCAGCGTGCCATCCTATTAGAAATCACAGATTATAAAGGTTAGAAATTAGCATATTTTTGTTGTGGAAGTAGCTAGCCGGCGCGCAATGCGCATGTGCCTGGAATATATGCTAAATGCGGAATGGTCGACTCCGGTCGTCAAGAAATTCATCTGCATTGGAAACCGAGTTGTGCGAGATTGTGTGTTTATTAGACAAGTGTGGTGGTGTAATACGTGTTTATAAAGTGTCCAAATGAGTATTTATTATTTATGGCGCTTCGAATATTTCAACTCGGCATTGTGTTTACAATAGGATTTCATTTCGGCCCTTCGAAAGGTAAGTTTTTGTAATTTATTTACCAAAAAAATCGAAAACATTACTTTTGTTGTGTGCCAATATGGCGGTGTGTTTTGGTCTTGCCTTCGCGAATTCCAAACAATTTTGTTTGTCCTACAGCATGTATCAATCAAAATACGATTGATTACACGTCTTTATTAAGTATTGAAACTATATTCACCAGTTAATTAACCAATTATGCTTCAGTTTCGGCTGTCATAATAAAAACACGATTCTCTGTGGCCACTTCTATTTCGACTGTAGGTATTTATCAATTCGATTATTTAAAAATAAACAATGCTTAGTAAAGCTTGCTTTGTTTACTATTATCGTATAATAAATTCAATCATCATCGTTTATTAACTGCCGCGTTCCTACATAATATCATTTCATTTCCTTAATTGGGTTATTTTCTTTGGTGTCAATAATACCTAAGTATTACGAAATACGTCCTTATTATTTATTGTCCGATTCGGCACTAATTTATTCAACGCATAAATCAACATATTTTCCAAATAAACCGTTTACATTTAAAATTTGTCAATAACCTCAAAATTATTAAAAATACTTTTATTTATTTATGTGTAGCTGCGAAGTAAATACCTAATTTGTGTTTTGGTTTTTGTGCCTTTCTACGTTTTGGCAATATTATGAAGTGTGACCTTGTTAAATTTTGAGCGGAATAGTTATATAGTTATATAGTTATATCAATGCCATGTGGTTAAATACAAACATTGATCTTTTGTCATGTTTTTATTTCGTTTTGATAAAATTTTCTTTACAGCCCGCATGAAAAATGTACCTATACAAGGTTTAAAGTTGAAAAATTAAAAAAATATATAAAATACCTACCATAAACAATTAGAATAGAACACGTAGTAAAGTCCGTATAACAGTCTTCAATTTTTCTTGCATGAGAGTTTTGTTGCGGACTGTAATTCACTTTGCAACATGCATGATACCAACCGAAGAAAAATATAAAATAATTTTAAGTAAAATTAAAGTTGCCACAATTTTTGCACACAAGTATTAATAAATGTCACATTTATTCATTATTACCTAGGTAGGTATATCAAATTATAGGTAGGTAATTACTTCTATCAACGAGTCTATCAAGTTTTTTAAATTAGGTTTTAATATTAATAACACTATGATAGTTTTAGAAACTTCTTTTTCCTAACATTGAGTACTCCAGCTTAGTTTATTTAATTTTGGGCCGCTGATTTCAAAAATGTCATTTGTTTTTCTCTAGGACGTCTAGGATTTAAAATAATTTCGTAATAAAATGCTCTGTTCAATCACCTAAAAATGTAAGTTTTATTGTTAGTATTTTAATTATTTATTCAATTATTTTGGCTTAAATCCATCTTGAATGTACTGAAGTAATTGGTATACGGCAAATAGATCAAATTTATCCTAAAAATATGACATTTTAAATACTAAAACTAAAATTTTAATGTATTATGTAAAAAAAAAAATTATTTGACATTTTTGTCGTTTATTTTAATTATTGAATAGAAAGGTCAACAAAGTAAACAAGTTTCGCTATTTTCTATCTAAATTAAGCCCACAAAATTTAATGCATTGCATAATTTTGCTTTTTTCTACCTTAAATTTATTAAATCGTATCAAATATCGAATTAAATTATAATATTATTGTGCTTAATCCTCATCTTCGTCGTACATATTTTGCTACAAATTCCAGCAAATGTCTTCTAGCAAAGAATCCAACTTCTTTCCGCTATACCCATAGTTATCTACCAATGCTGTAGATTTGCAGTTACTTGGTAAAATCGTTTTCCATGTTCATCAGTTAGGCAAATTTATCAGGATCAAAGAACAAAAATGTATTTTAAATGACATTAACGCTAATCCTTTCCAAAACGGAGAGCATTTTTTCAATAAATTGGCGCCAATTTTAGGCCCGATATGAACCAAGAACATTTTTAATGACAGCTTTAACACGGCCATATGCGACAAGCTCGTCAACTTTGAGAGCTTTTTTGAATGCTTGATCTTTCATTAAACGTCGTATATCAGGTCCATTTAATATTCCTGCAAAATTAAAGTGGTAGGTATATCCCATAATGTAATGAAATATTGCGTTTGTTTTTCTTGGGCGTAAAGGTACCGCAACAAAAACAAAACAAATTTACAACGACGACTTAAAGGTTCGTCTCCTTTCTCTTCCTCTACCACTTCCATTTCCTGCTCTTTTTTTATTTTTGGTTCTTAAAATCACTTTTAAGTAAAAATACAATTTAAAGTTTAAATTTTAAATGTCAAAAATTAATAGATGCACTTTAATGTGCTAAAACTATAAAGTAGGTAAAGGCGCCTTTATATAAGGCTTAATAAATAAGATTGGAGATTGAATTTTTGGGTACTTTGGGCATGATGTAAATAAAAAAATATCAAATAATAGTCAAAGAGTAATGTTTATACCGAAACCCATTTACTTTGTTGCCTTTTTAATTTAGTAATTAAAAAACGACACAAAAATTTCAAAAAATGATACCAACATAGTATACGGCTACAATGAAAAAAAAATTCTATTTGACAGTCCCTGTATATTTTTGACAAAAAACATCAAAAATATACCGAACATCCAAAATAGATTTAAGGCAAAATAATTTAATAAATAAGCAAAATATTAATGAAAAACTTGCATTTTGAGATAATTGGACAGAGCATTTTATTATGCAATTATTTTGAATCCTAGACGTCCTGGAGCAAAACGAGTGGCATTTTTGAAATCAGCAGCCCAAAATTAGGTAATATAGGTAGGTGTACTCAATGTTAGTAATTCGAACTATCATAGTGTAATTAAATGACACTTGAAAACATTAAAAGCAATGAATTTCCGTTATGAGCGTGCTTAAAAAAATATTTTTTAAGAAGAGAAACTTATTAATTTTTCGTGTACAGAAATTTACCGTAGCAAAAAAAATTTAAAAAAAATTAATTTTGACTGGGTATTTTTGTAATTTTCGAAATTCGTGAGCGAACCCCGAGGCGACCCCTAAACATTTTTCAATATACCTAACTTATTTTTTGAGAGAGCTCTTAAAACACAATAAAACATGATTCAGGGTTAAAAAATATATAAATTTATATATTTTTACCGTAGGTATATTATACAAGGTGCCGGAAAAAAATGTCGAATACTCTGCAAGTGTGCAGGGGCGTCCCTCAGGTGTTTTATTATTATTATTTCTGAAACGGTTTAATATAAAATAATGTATTTTTGGGAAACCTGTGTTTTTTATTAATATTTATTGTTAAATATATTAATATACCTAAATTAAAAATGAAAACCGACAATTTTTTTTTAAAATTTGGTAATTTATTTTTATTTAAAAATTTTACGTAAAAAAGCAAAATATGCACAAAGAAATACTTAATACATACCTAAATTAAATTAAATTTTAAATTTTGTTGTTATTTTAAAATTTAGTACCTATTAAATTCTATTATTTTATACCAAACCTTTTCAAAAATAATATTAAAAAAACATCTTTAGGGCCCCCCCTTAAGAGCCTGCAGCTCCCTTAGGGTCCATTTGCGGACCTATGTTTATAAGAAGAGTCTTTCTTATTTTTGTCTTAAGAAACCACCTCTAGAGGATTGCACACTATATTAGTCAAACCTGTATCTTGAAATTTAAGATACTTAGCCCTAATCGAGGCCTTAATATCCATATGAATTTTTCGTCACCAAATTTTGTGGAGAGTCACCCATTTTATTTATTTTTTACCTCATTTTGAAATCACCCTGTATATCATAATATACAGGGTTTTTGGTAACTATAGTTACCTCTATAGAGGACAAAAATGAAATGTCTTGTGTCTTTTATAATCTGTGGTAATGTAGATTCGAAATTATCCTGGCTTAATTATAGGATTTTTTTCGCGTTTACAAAATAACTTTTATTTTATTTTTATTTTGGTCTTTGGGATAGCCAAATTGTTCCAAAAATGGAACCATTGTTATTATACAACTATAGGTAGGTCAAGAGGTAGGTATACCTATAGGTATGCACTAGTGGTCAGGCCTAGACCTAGACCTAGGTTTGGTTTAGGGGGTCAGGAATATAAAAAGACAGAATATTTTTTTTTTAATTGTGCTACGTTAAGGGACCTAATAATTTCGGACCCTGATTTTAATTAAACAAAAACTGTAATTTTAGATATCATCATTAATTTTTTTATGAAGTGTTTTTTAATTCAACTTAATAATTATTTACCTTTCTAAAACAAATATGTTTCCATGTCTACTATGTCTACCATGTCTACTATGATCAATGAAAGTTTATCTTTATGCTGCAATGCACGGAAATAGCTATTTGTGTATTGCCGCTCTGAGCGAGAAGTTTGACGAGAGCGGCAATGTCACTTTGCGGTCGAATTACACACAGGATTTTTTCTACAAGCAGTGTTTCTATAAGAATGTTTGGTAAAAATTAATAATTTGTCGCTTGTGTGAAAAGTCGCAAATACACTAAACGTTTCTTTATTATGGTTTCCATTAGGGGTGCACCGGAATTCCGGCGGTACCACTAAATCCGGCCGATCCGGCCAGTTGGCCGGAACTATCGTTCCGGCCGGATCGCTCCGGCCGGATCGCTATCCGGCCGGAATTTTCGGAACTATCCCAGATAGCACACATACGTCCACTGGATATCCTTAGGACGTCAACCCAGGACATCCTACGGATATCCGAATGGACGTCCGTAGGACTTCCAAAGTAGACACTTTTGGTTGTCCTTTGGCCGTCCTATAATGGTCTATTAAAGACTGTCCTAGGACCAAATTCGGCCATAATTTGGCTGACAGGAATAAAAACTAAAACACCTAAAATTTTTAACCAAACATTTTTATTCACCTATATTATAATTACAGCACAAATGTCCAGAGGATGTCCAAAGGATATCCCCTGGACGTCTCAGTGTCCAAATGACATCCATTGGACGTCCACTGCCGGTAAATTCGAAATTCAGA